GGGCACTTTTGCCATCTTCTGGTGGGAGCTTCCCTCCTGGACCCTTTGCTGGAAGAGAAGGCATTGTGGCTGTCTGGAAGGGTGGGCTGCTGTTTTGTAAGCACTAATAGGTTTACCAGATGATTATTTTTCTCGAGAGCAGAGCCTCCAACAGCGTCTACTCCTGACTATCTTTGGACAGCACTAACACCAGTTTTCGCTTGGCCCCCTTCCCAGTGTTGAGAAGTCACTTCTGGTGGGCCTGGGGTATGGGAGACATAAGGAAGCACAAAAATTCAGAAAGAATTCCCATTTAACAGGGATAAGATTTAAAATGTTAAGTAAGATTCAAGGATAATAATGACACATGAGAAAAAAACATGATACAAAATGTGGTGAGAAAGAGAAGGCTGCTTTTGTATTCCTGCAGAGAAAGAGCCTCACAAGAGGAGGTGATTCACTCACTCACAATGGACAGGGACACAGCAGAACCGGGTGTTTCGATACTTATTTTTGAACTGAGTAATTTCAAATTGGAAACAATGGAAGATTTTCCTACTGCTGCTTTTCAGAGGAGTGAGTGATTGGCTTGTAAATAAAAAACTGAGATCCTTTTGGGTTTAATTGGGGTTCTATTTTTATTTCAAGATCTTCAGAGAAACGTCTCCATTATAAGACGCAGAGTTTTATTTTTTTAACGATATTATTTCCATTTGAAATTAGAGATTTGCCATTGGTTTTTATGACTGGACTGATACATATTTATAATTTTGCAGTTGTCACTGATGATTTTAATTTGGCCTTGACAACGTCCTTTAAATTATGGTGGTCTTTATGTGTAGGGAAAAAAAATCCAGATGCTATAAATAAAAAGATTGATAAATGGATTGCATAAGAGATTTTGACAATAAAAAGGCAAATAAAACTTTGGAGAAAATATTTGCAATACCTAAAGCCAAGAAAGGCTTAATTAAGGAATTCTTTAATTAAAAAATTAAAATTCTTGATTGAATTCTTTAATTAAAAAAAAAGACAGGAAATGATTTGTACACCAGAAAAAACAAAACAAAACATTTTAATAGAAAAATGGGTACAGGGAAGAATAGGGAGTTAATAGATTAGGAATTATTATATACTTAACTTATGAAAAATGCTTGATATTAATAATTAAAGAAATGCTATTATTATTTTTTTGCATATCAGTTTGACAAAACTGACAAAAATTTAAGTTTGTTAATCTTGGGTGCTATTGAGAGTGTGATTGGAATGAATAATGATTGGTCTAACTTTTATTGAGGGCATTTTGATTCTATCTATCCAAATTAAAAATCTAAATTAAAATCATATACACTTTGACTCAGTCATCTCATTTTGCAATGCTATCTCAGGTACACTTACAAACGTCAGCCAAACATGTGCAGAAAACTCATGATAGCACTGGCCCCAACAGAAAACCTTGACAAATTTCCATAATTAGGTGATTGGGTAAATAAGTTAAATTCTACAGTCTTTCTAAATTCTGTAGTCTTTAAAAATAATGAGGCAGATCTATAAGTGCAGATAGGAAAAACTGTTTCCAAAAACATTAAGTATGCTTATATATATATATATAATATATATATACTTAATATAATAATAATAATTATTATATTATTATAATTATCATTATATTATTATAATAAATAATATATATAATAAGCATACTTAATATATATATATATATACATTTTAAATGAATTAAGAAAACTGTTAAGATAATTTATCCTTTGGGAGAGTGTATTCGTTCTGTACTTTTTGAATTTCCAGAGCATATGCATATTTATTTTTTTATAATATCAAAAGTTGTTACAGGGGCTGGCCCCCTTGTGTAGTGTGGTTAAGTGCACGCGCTCCGCTGCTGGCGGCCCAGGTTCGGATCCCAGGCGCGCACTGATGTACCATTTGTCAAGCCATGCTGTGGTGGCGTCCCATATAAAGTAGAGGAAGATGGACATGGATGTTAGCCCAGGGCCAGTCTTCCTCAGCAAAAAGAGGAGGATTGGCTTGGATATTAGCTCAGGGCTGATCTTCTTCACACACACAAAAAGAACTTGTTACAAGTTGTGGGTCTATAAACAATCTTCTGTTTTCTTTATACCTCTTTGTCTTAAAAAATGGCTTCCAGATGTTATTAAAAATTAGAAAAACCAAAAAATTAAGTATATATTTATTCTTCTTAATGGTATCAAGTCATGATTTAATTTGAGGTATATTTTCTATTTTGCACATTTATATTCAGCCAGGATTAATTATGGAATCTCCCCCTACCACATCCCTACCCCCATACTTCCAGAAATGATTAATTTGTTACAAAGAATGAACAAAATGACTTAAATGAATTGTGGTCTTCTGGGAGTTCCTGATCTTTCTTTCTGGTTTAATTATGATCCCTTGAGCCAGGGGTGAGCTCTGCTAACTTGTTTTCTGTTATCAGGATGTATGATATTGGGTTTCAGCACTTAGTCAGACAGCTGTTCATAATGATACACTTTCTGGCATGAGGAATACTTCCTCATGGACTAGTTCAAAGAGTGTGGATTCTTTTCTTTAATTACACGAGGAATCGAAACATTCTTTTTCACCTGTGTTTTGTTTTTAGGCATTCAGGACACATACATACACTCACCTGGTCACATTTAGCATGTCTGGTAGTTTCCCCTGTAAGCATCTTCCCTGTAAACATCTTTGCTGTAAGCACTTTTAACACAAACATTTTTGCCACATAATTGGACGTAAGGCAATTTTGCCATAAAAGATAAAATAACTGGTTGATCAATAGGACAGTGTAAAAATAAGAGAGTGTAAAGATACAGATAAAGGTACAAATAAGAGAGTGTCAGGGCTGGCCCGGTGGTGCAAGCAGTTAAGTGTGCACGCTCCGCTGCGGCAGCCTGGGGTTCGCTGGTTCGTATCCTGGGCGCGCACCAACGCACCGCTTGTCAAGCCATGCTGTGGCGGCATCCCATATAAAGTGGAGGAAGATGGGCATGGATGTTAGCCCAGGGCTAGTCTTCCTCAGCAAAAAAAAAAAAAGAGGAGGATTGGCAGATGTTAGCTCAGGGCCGATCTTCCTCACACAAAAAAAAGAGAGTGTCAAGCCAGATTACATACTATGCTAGAGAGTGGTACCATATCAGTTTGCAAATCCTTTGGTGAGCACAGTCTTTTCTCCCACATTTTCCTTCCAATGCAATACAAAGCTCAGTTACAAATATGCATCCCAGTATTTGCAAACGGATACCTCTCTTAATGAAGGAAGAAATTCTAGCAAAAAAGAAAATGCGAGGTAGATGCTGAAAGAGGAGACGAGTTAACAAGCGAAAAAATGTGTAATACTGTAAACGAAAGACTTCAAAGCCAAGTGCTTAGGCACAATCCAAAAAATAAAATCAGTTATTTGGGCGATATTGCCACGAATCCACACTTTTACATTTTAAATGTATTCAAAAATTTTGCATTTTCATTTTTTGCAATAAAGTCTTTTAATTTTGTTATTAATTTTTTATGTTTCACTATGTCTTTTCTAATGTCCCTCTTTTGTTTTCTGGGATTTTATCTTTTATGGCAAAATTGCCTTACTGCCAATTAGTTATGTGGCGAAAATGCTTGTGGCAAAGGTGCTGACGGCGAAACCACCTAGAACACACGTTCAGGTCTGTTTGCTGGACCCATGGGAGGATCGGGACAGGCGGGTGGTGGCTGTGGCAGTTCAAAGAGTGAAGGAGCTCAAGTGATAGAAGTTCCTTTCAGTTCAAAGTGTTATGACTTGGAGTCTGAGACAGTAAGACACCCTCTTTCGTGTTGACTGAGTGTCCTCAACTTCTCCACCTGCAGATTTTTAAGTTTCCTTGTGCCTTATTGAAGGCCTGCCTACTTTGTGTCTGGCTATAAACTTTTGTATTTGTAAAATGGCATGAGCAGAAGTCAATAGAATAACATTATCCACCGTAAAAACACATGAAGAATAATGACAATAAAAATAATCTTACAGGGCCCAGCCCCGTGGTGCAGTGGTTAAGTTTGGTGAACTCTGCTTTGGGGGCCCAGGTTCGCAGGTTTGGATCCTGGGCGCAGACCCGCACCACTTGTTGGCAGTGCTGTGGCAGCAACCCACATACAAAATAGAGGAAGATTGGCACAGATGTTGGCTCAGGGCGAATCTTCCTCAACAACAGTAAAAATCTTATAATAAATGAGAATTTTCTATTAATTAATTTTTCATTGGGCTATACCTTGGGTCTTTCTTTCCCAAATTATTAAATTCCATGTATCAATGGCAGCTCCTTTTCTTTTGACTCTGAAAATTCAGGGTTATGCAAATTATTGCAGTCCTTATGAGGAGCTCTTTTGTAGTCTGTGTCAAGAGATTTGACTCCAGTAATCTGAGTTTTAGGAGTTTGTTCCAATCGCAAGAAAGTAATTCAATGGAAAAATTATCTAGACACAAAAAGTCTTTACTGGTAGAAGAATGTGAATTATGGTATATCCATGTGGTCAGAATGTTATGCAACCAGTAAAATGATAGTCATGAACCTCTTGTGGCAACACTAGAAACATTCAGGGAATGAAGGTAAATGTGTGCCATGACCCACTCTAGGAAAATATCTATTTGGAAGGAAAAGTCAGGAATGTTAAAAGTTGGAGTGTAAGAAATATGGATGAAGTTATTTATTTAATTTCTTTCATGCCCTAAAGTCTGCAATAAATTAAAATGTGGAGAAAAAGGAAAGCAGCGGAAGCCAGGTCTGGTGGGAAAAGTACAAGGAGCTGACACAGTTGTGAATCTGCATACGGTAACAAGTGAACTGGGGCCTTCTCCATGGGTCCCTGCCTCAAGTGATTGTTCTCAGAGACATGTAGTAGGATGACAATGATCTCCTTTGAAAGAGGCCTGGTCTGGCCTGTATACCATTCTTCAAGAGACAGAGATATCTGTAATGCAATTTATTCAAGCAACATTTCTTTTTTGACAATTTCTCCAGGTCCTTTCCCTCGCTGAATTCTTCTGGCCGTGTATCCTGTTCATGATTCTGACAGTACTTCGTTTTCAAGAACCTCCCAGACATAGAGACAATTGTAAGTTGCACTTTTATCACACTTTTTGAATTATAAACCTCTGAAGGAAAAATGCAGCACTCTTTCCTCTGTTCCTTGTAAACTCTGAATTCTGAGTGGAGTGAATGGATAGGGGTCTATTGTAATATCACAATAGCTATATTTCTGGAGTGTGCGCCAGTGAGCATCAATTTAGTTTCTTTTTTTCTCTTAAGAATGATATTCACACATGTTTGCTTAATCTAGCAGATAGATTTATCCTTCTAAAGAAACTGTCTCAATTTGGGCATAGGTATACAAGCCATTATAAATATAGAAAGAGTAGAAAAAGAGATAAAAGGTGGGAGATGCATTTCACAGTTTACCAACATGATGCTGACGGTGGTGATGGTGGTGGTGGTGGTGGTGGTGATAGTGATGGTGAAGATGATGATGATGGTGATGGTGATGATGATGGAGATGATGGCAATGATGAAGATGATCATGGTGGTGGTGATGCACCGATAAACCATTTTTGATAACTTCCTTCTGCTCCAGGAGCTTTATCAGAAAGAGTACTTTGTTTATCTGGTTTGAAACCTCAACAGTATCACTCTGAGAAACGATGGTCTGGTTTCTTTCTGTCAGACTTATACCACTTGAAATATGGATATGTGATTAACTCTGAAAATGTTACATGAATAAAGGATTATAAAGGGATGGTATTTATCTAAAATAGTATGTCACTATCCAAAATAGTGAAGTAATTTATTCATTCACTCAGCAAATATGTATTGAGTGCCTTCTGTGTCCCAGGCCTTGCTGAGGATACAGTGGTGGACAAGGTATTTTCCCTGCCCTTACAGAACTCACTGTAGGGCCAGACTATTACAATACAGTCGGAAAAGGGTCATGATGGGATTCTGTACAGGGGCCATGTAAGCACACAGGATAGATGACCAATCCATTCTAGAAAAAAGCTTCTGAGGAATTGGCAACATGAAACTTTGTCAGAATAAAGGAGTACAGGGGAGGAATGGTCTAGGTGGGGCCGACAGCATGGGGAAAAGTGGAACTAAAAGGAGTTCATTATAACTAAGACGCAAAGGCGTGACTGGAGGAGTAAGCAGGTCAGATCAATAAAGGACCCTGTACCATGTTGGCGATGGTGACCTCCTAAAGAGCACTGAGGAGCCACTGAAAGGTTTCAGGCAAGGTCATAATCAGATGAGTGTGTACATGCCGGTAGAGGTTGAATTTGAGATGGGGGATCAACACTGGAGAACACAAGGAAGAAGTCATGGTGCTCTTGAGTGACCAGGCAAGAGACGGTTATGGCCTGAAGCAGGAGGAGGAGGATGGGTTCCAAAGATTGGAAGAAGGTAGGCCTGACAGGAAGCACCACTGGCTGGATGTCACGAGGATAGGAGGGCCTCCAACTAGGACAGCTGGGTGGAGAGTGCACCCTCGCTGAACTGAAGAGGCTCAGGAGTGCGGGATTTAGGGGCGCTGCGTTCAGTGTGGCCGTGCTGAATGTGAGGGGCCCGTCCATGAGACTGCCTGAGTGAGCTGCCCGCTCAGTCAGATTTATGAGTCTTGAGCTCACTCGAGTTTGGAAGTAGATGAGGTCACATAGAAGGAGAAGCACCCAGGACAAAGACCTCAAGAAGAGTACATTTGAGCGACAGCAAGAAGGGTCAATAAGGAGCAGCCAGGCGCTTCTGGGGGAAGGTCGTGAAGAGAATACAGAGTCTGTCTGGGCAGCATTTTGAGAAGGAGGCACGGCAAAGAGTGACAGATGTTGTTGCCACGTGGGTAGGAGAAGAGCTGACACGTTCCCATTAGATTTAGTGTGGTGGTGCCATTGCTTAGGGTGGTTCAGTGAGGGAGCTAGGACATGGAGAGGCCAGACTGCATTGACATGAAGAGTGAAGTGGAGGGGACATGGTAGAATAACTGCCTTACTCCACAGGAGAAACAAGACAGGCACACTGCCAGAGGGTGAAATAGCGGGTGGGAGCTTTCACGTCGCAAGTGGACCGAGGGAAAGGCCCAGGTCAACAGTGGCTAACAAAAAATTGTGAATAGTTTAGTTGTAAATAATAGACCGTGAAGTCTAAGTGCAATGTGGTCCTAGTGCAGTACCATATGGGAAAAGCAGCTTATAATGTTCCTTATCCTAAAAGTTTACACTCATTCCTGAAGCATTTATCCAGTTCTCATTTGTGTCAGAAGTACAATCCGACAAACAAGCAGCTTAGGGAAATCCTAGAAGTGTTTTTCAGAGGTTGAGCCAGATGAGCATTCTTAGGGAAGAGAACGCTTTGTCAGAGTCTCAAAGGGGTCTAGGAGCCAAAATCATTTAAGGACCGCACTTTGAAGCTCCGTCTTGCCGCCTACCAGCTGTGTGGGCCCAGGCAAGGGGCTTAACCTTTGTGAGTCTCTTTTCTGTAAAGGGAGCTAATTTTACCTGCCTCCAGGGCTGCAGCAAGGACTCTGTGAGAAAGCCAGTCACGAGCATGCGCCCAGCATAGGAGGGCCTGGCACAGAGCAGATGACCAACAAATGTCTGTTCCCCTCCTTCACTCTCCCCCTGTCCTGGGGTGGCCTGATGTTACCACGCCTGGTCTTTAGTCTTGGAGACAAAGTGTGTCCAGGACTTGAATTCTCAATATCTGACCCACTGAACACCCCACTATAGTGACCACCATTCTTGATATGTTCCTGAGGGAGATGGGACACAGAAACCCAGGAAATGCACTAGGGAAATGCACCTATGATTACTAGCTGGGATATGACCCCAAATCCTTCTATGGTCTCCTACCCTAGTGCACTGGGCCATGTGTTAACTAAGAACTTCATTTGACCCTTTAGCTTAAAAGCCTATTCATTTATCTTTTATTCATTTACCCATTCCTCCATTTGATCATTCGTCCATTCATCAAACATTTAGTGACTATCTCTCTATGCAGAGCATTGTGCTGAACACTGGATGTAGTGGATCTCCAAGTCTAGACCAAACTAGACTCGAGGGGAAAGTCTTTCACCAAGGTTTTATAAGCTACAACACGCTAGAGTAGTAACTTCCAAGTTGCCTGCAGTCATCAGCATCCCAACTATTCCTGTCCATCTGGCAGCGTGAAGACAGATAGGGAGGGGGCATGTGTGAACAGCACTTTATGGAGGGAGGTGGCTTATTGTAGCAGCACTTGCCCTGAAAAATCTTGGATCTTATCCAGTTTCCCTAAACTTCTTTGCATTATGTGATCTTTAGCAACTACACTTAAACAGTTAAGAATCCAATGTGTGGACTTGACATTTTTGCCAAAACCAAAAACTCCTAAATTTTTATATGAGATGGGAAGAAGTATCCATTCTTATTCATCCTTCCCATGGCTCATTTACAGAGGGCTGTGTCTGGAGGCATGGCGGTGTAACAGAGGTATCGCCACTGCCCAAGCAGGGAGGAGAGTGAATCATGTGGCCGTGGCTACACAGAGCCGTTCTGCCTTGAAGCATGAGTGCAGACCCTGGGGGAAAGGTGTTAGATGTAAAAGGTTTCTTTCTTTCCTTTTTTTTTTTTTTCTTTTTGGTTTGAGTGCTCAGATCTCCTTTAAATTAATAAGAAGGTTAATAATAAGATGATATTACATATTACTATGCTAACTCACTAGGTATGCCATTTCTGGTACCAGTTGTATGGACTCATTTCTTCCTTGCATCTACATCCAGGTTATTTGCAACCCCGGGATCTGCCCAGCCGGGGCGTTTTCCCCTTTGTCCAAAGCCTTCTTTGCAACACCGGGTCGAGGTGCAGGAACATAAGCTATGCAGGGTCAACGGAGCACCATTTTCGGTAAGAGAAACAAAAACATCCTTTTCAGAATTCATGGGAAGCTGGTCAATAGAACAGGCGTGATGCTTTTAGGATAGCCTCAATAATTTGGGACAGGTCAGAGATCATGAGAAGCGCAGAATTTAAAGTTACCAAAAAATGGTGGGCCGGCCCCGTGGCTTAGCGGTTAAGTGCGCGCGCTCCGCTGCTGGTGGCCCGGGTTCGGATCCCGGGCGCGC